TGGTGCTGCATGGGTATTTCTCCAGCATGCGATGTGGTAGGGGAGGAGACAAAAGGTAGAAGACTCTCCATGATGTTTGAAAAGTCATGGCAGTCGGGTGAAGTCCCTGGTGACTCGAAAAAGGGAAAAATTGCATGCATTTTTAAAAAGGGCAGAAAGGAGGACCCTGGGAACTACTGACCTGTCAGCCTCACCTCTGTGCCTGGGATGATCATGGAACAGATCCTCCTGGAAGCTGTGTTAAGGCACATGGAGGACAGGGAGGTGATTTGAGACAGCCAGTATGGCTTCACCAAGGGCAAGTCCTACCTGACCAACCTAGTGGCCTTCTGTGATGGAGTGACTACATCAGCGGACAAGGGAAGAGCTATGCAAGTTGTGTGTCTGGGGTTCTGTAGGACCTTTGACACAGTCTGCCACAACATCCTTCTCTCTAAATTGGAGAGATATGGATTTGATGGGTGGACTGTTTGGTGGATGAGGAATTGGTTGGATGGTCATATCCAGAGGGTAGTGGTCAACAGCTCAATGTCCAGATGGAGATTGGTGACAAGTGGCATCCCTCAGGGGTCTGTACTGTTTAATAGTGGGACCAGTGCTGTTTAATATCTTCACCAATGACATAGACAGTGGGATTGAGGGCAATGCCAGCAAGTTAGCAGATAACACCAAGATGACAGGTGCAGTCAACACACCTGAGGGATGGGATGCCATCCACAGGGACCTGGACAAGCTTGAGAAGTGGGTCCATGTGAGTCTTATGAGGTTCAACAAGGCCAGGTCCAAGGTCCTGCATCTGGGTCAGGTCAATCCCCAGTATCAATACAGGCTGGGAGATGAAGGGATTGAGAGCAGCCCTGCTGAGGAGGACTTGGGGGTACTGGTGGAGGAAAAGCTGGATATGAGCCAACAATGTGTGCTCACAGCCCAGAACACCAATTGCATCCTGGGCTGCATCGAGCAGCATGGGCAGCAGCTTGAGGGAGGGGATTCTGCCCCTCTACTCTCCGCCTTGGTGGAACCCCACCTGCAGTGCTGCGTCCAGCTCTGGGGCCCCCAGCACAAGATGGACCTGGACCTGTTGGGGTGGGTATGAAGATGATGGAGGGGGCTGGAGCACCTCCCCTGTGAGGAGGCTGAGAGAGTTGGGGTTGTTCCGCCTGGAGAAGAGAAGGCTCCAGGGAGACCTTATAGTGGCCTTCCAGTACTTAAAGGGGGCCTGCAGGAAAGATGAGGGCAATATTTTTAGCAGGGCCTGTTGTGATTGGACAAGGAGTAATGGTTTTAAACTAAAAGAGGGTAGATTTAGACTAAATATAATAAATTTTTTACAATGAGGGTGGTGAAGCACTGGCATAGGCTGCCCAGAGAGGTGGTAGAAGCCCCATCCCTGGAAACATTCAAGGAGAAGTTGGAGGGGGCTCTGAGCAACCTGGTCTAGGTAAAGATGTCTCTGCTCACTGCAGGGGGGTTAGATTAGATGACCTTTAAAGGTCCCTTCCAACCCAAACTACTCTATGATTTGAGACATTGTCAGTACTCTCTGTGTTAGCCAAGTCAGTCAATCGCTCTTACAGACTTTTGTAATGATCACCTCATTGACTGATTTTTCTTATGACCTTCAGTATGAAGGTTCTCTGTCTAAAGGAAAGGAGGCACTACAAAAAGTATAGCTAAGTGCTGTGAAAGACTGGAGTTGGGGAGGTAAGCATAAGGAAGTAGCAGATTGTTCGTTCACTGTTAGTATATAAAAGTTAATATGTAGAACTAGAAGTAGCTAGTGTGAGGATTTTTTTTTTAGCAGTGACACTTTGTTAATGATAAAAAATGCAAAACACATGTATTTATTGGTAGACTCTTATGAGTCATACTACGAAGAAAATAGAAATACCACCTCTACTCCAATGGTGAGGGTAAGGTATGATATGACTTGTAAAAAAAGTAGAATAAGGCTTGGGAAAGGGAGGCTTATGTAGAATTGAGTTCCATACAAAGAAGAATAATTTTCTTCTTACAAATAGGAATATAACAAAACAAAGTGGAGGTGGAGTATTTATCAAAGCCGTAGTGAGGATCATGTTGTGTATTATAATGAATCAGTGAAGATGACAGTTGTTCTCTGTCCCACCCACAGGCTTTGGACAGGGTTATTGTCCATCTCCATGCAAGTCATGCGTCATCTTTAAGACTGAGCAAAAATGGTCCTCAGCTTCCATAAAATTGTACTGGTTTCTGTTTTTAGCCATCACAGGGTCTGGCAGTAGCACTTGGGAATTGCGCAGATTTTGTGGATGCACTTTTAGGTCAATTAAATTGTTTGCATTATTTAAAGCCAATTGTTCACAAACCTGTTTCTCAAACATAAAGCTTTTAAATATGTCAATTTGAGCAGAAGATGTATTAAATCTCACTATGATTTGTTCTTGTTTTGTTTGTTTTTTCCTTTTTTTTTTTTTCTTGTCAGTTCACAAAGCCTGGTGAGACCAGCGTTGATTATCCTGACATGGCTAAGGAGGCAGGTAATTTAATAAAGCAAGCATTCAATTTGATGGCTGACACTTATTTTAAGTCTTACAGTTAATCTTTTTATTATACCTGTGAAGGAACAGCTACTATTCAGTAAAGATTTGTATAAAAAAGCAAATCTAAAACTGACAAAAAAACCCACTTTCGCAAAATCCATAACTGACCTGTTCAACTCGCTGCCTTCTGGTACTGAAGTCAGAAGGATATCTTAAAGTTGAATGGAACACTTAAGTAATTTAATACATACATCTGTTATTCAAACATACTTTCACTGAGATAAACAACCTTTGTACGTGAACACAGAATTGATTGCATGAAGTTTTCTGATAAAGGAGCTTGTTCAAGTTCAAAGTACTGCAAAATTGTCCTTATGAAAATTAAGGTGCAAGACTGTATTAATTTGCATCATATAATAAGGAATTTTTACAGCTCTGTGTTTTTATTCTTTGTGAATGCATGAATCGTAGATAGTGCTCTAGGTTTGCGAGTTGAGAGCTGCGCTTTTTTTTTTTTAACTTTTAAAATTTTTTCCAGGCCAGAAGGCTTTAGCTGATGCTGGGATTCCTTATTCAGCAGTGGAGCAGGCATGTGTGGGTTATGTTTATGGTAAGTAATGTGATTTGTTTGAGATGTGACATTTGCAGGCATCTGTGTGGATAAAGTTTATCCACATCTGTATGGATAAAGTACAGGGGATCCCATCAATTTCAGGTTATACTATTTAATCGTGTCAGTTTGTAGAATTGTCTCAAACTTTTTAGAAGTGATCTTTTTTTTTTTTAGTGATCACAGATCTATGTCTGTTTACTGGTGTAGTTTACGGTTCTAGTAATGGGTATGGAAAGGCTTCCATAAAATTGTCTTGCAAATGTTTTATACAAGTAGCTCTTTCAGCAAGATCAGGTGGTATATTTATTCCAGTGGTGCAAAACTTACGTATTATAATGTTCATGGCAATAGACTTGAAAAATCTTTTAATCTTTGTGTGCGGCTGTGTGTACACTAGAATGGATATGCTTGTTTATCCATTGCTCTCAAGTTGAAGAAGCTTGCTAGGGGTATTTTGGGGATCAACCATGTATGGTATCCTTGCCCAAGAGCATGTAAGAGATACCTGTTTGGACTCAGCTCTAAGTGATAGATGAGGTCTGCTCTGTGGGAGGTTCATAACTGTTTTAATCTATGGACATATATAGAAACATTACCATGGTTTAAGGTACTTTATAAGATTATTGAGAGTATGTGCCTTACTATGGCTCCAGAACAATGCTTCATAGCGGATGTAGACAAAACTGAGTTGTTCACATACTGACACAGTGCTGCCCTGGCTTCATTGTCAGCAGGACCCTTGTTGTGGTTTAACCCCAGCCAGCAACTAAGCCCCCCACAGCTGCTTGCTCACTTCCCCCCAGCAGGATGGGTGAGAGAATGGGAAGATAAAAGTGAGAAAACTCATGGATTGAGATGAAGACAGTTTAATAGGAAAAGCAAAAGCCACGCACGTGGGCAAAGCAAAACAAGGAATTAATTCACCGCTTTCCATCGGCAGGCAGGTGTTCAGCCATCCCCAGGAGAGCAGGGCTCCATCACATGTAACAGTGACTTGGGAAGACAAATGCCATAACTCTGAACGTCCCCCCTTTCCTTCTTCTTCCCCAAGCTTTATATGCTGCGCATGATGTCATATGGTCTGGGATATCCCTTTGGTCAGTTGGGGTCAGCTGTCCCAGCTTGTGCTCCCCTGGTGCACTAGCTGGTGGAGTGGTGTGAGAAGCAGAAGAGGCCTTGACTCTGTAATCGCTGCTCAGCAGTAAGACATCCCTGTATTACCAACGCTGTTTCCAGCACAAATCCAAAACCCACCCCCATACTAGCTATGTGAAGAAAATTAACTCTACCGCAGCTAAAACCAGCACAACCCTCAAACAGATTCCTGATAGATGCCCTCAGCAGAAGCTTTTAACTTGCAGTCACTGGTTATCATAGTGAGAGGCGATGGTGCTAAATGACTAGTTTGAACCTTTTCCTGTCACTCCAGTTCACAGATGCCTGATGTGTTTGTCAAACCAGTCAAAAGAGAGTTTTTCATTTACTTTCTTCGTGTTTCTCTATTAATGACTGTATCATGGCAACTGAAGTAGGGTCAATCAGCCGTCATACCTGTAGCAGCTTCCAAGCCACCCTTCTAAGACGTTTCTGTCTAGTCCAGTTACCTTCTGTTGATTCACAGCCTGTTATCCCAGAAGGAGCAGAAACTTCTCTTCTTAAAATCTGATGATTCTCACCTTGTTTCTAAGGTTCTTGTACTGTGGATACTTGTGAGACATACTCAAAGTGACAGTTCAAAAGTTCAAGTTTACGGTTTAAGTGATAGCATTGCACATACATAGTGGGATTTCTTTTTACTGGTGAAGTTTGAGTGTGTACCTTATTTTAATGTTGTGTCTCTGTCTAAAGGTGACTCAACCTGTGGGCAACGGGCTATCTATCACAGTTTGGGTTTAACTGGCATTCCTATCATTAATGTTAACAACAACTGTGCTACTGGATCAACTGCTTTGTTCATGGCCAGACAACTAGTAGAAGGAGGTGAGTTGTTTTCCTGTGGGGCTGGGTAATAGGTATCATCTATTTCTGTCAATATAACTTGAATGAAGAAGGGAACTAGTGAATGTGCGAGTACTCAGAGTTGTAAATGTCCCGTCCTCATAGGCAAAATTGAATTTTCTGCCTCACTCAGCTGAAAGGTTGATTAGTAGTTGTATATACAAATTGAAGACCAAGCACTTAAAAGAGTAAGACCACCACTATGAACTAGACCATTATGTGTGCACCTAAGACTATGTCTGTGATGCAGTAAAATGGTGTATATGGATATAAATGTCCTTTCTTGTGCCATAAGCTGTATGAACCTAGTAAGTACTAAGCCAGTTGAGTTTTTTCTGGAAGAACTGTTTGGAGTAGTGTGGAACAAGTTGCATTATAGTACTGCAAGACACTAGACTCTGCAGGATGAAAAGGAGAGAAGAATCTGCTAAACAGTGTAGCTTTTTTTTTTTAGCTTTTTTTTTTAACTTTAAGTTAGCACAAGTGTTTCACTAACACATTTTTGGAAGGGAGGGGAGGAGAGCAATGGTTTTGACAGACTATGCTTTGAACTGACGGATGAGCATTTCCTTCTGTTTCTGCAGTTACTTTGTGGACTTTGATACTTTCTTTCTCTTAAATGCCAATCTTTCTGCAATCAAAACTATAGTAACATTCTGAATGATTATTCTACTATTTGTAGCAGACGTAACTGCTTCATCATCTAGGATAATTCCTGTCAAACAGTTTAAAAATAAACCCAAACCCTGCAGTGATCTCTCATTTTTCAGTATCAATATGTTTGTATTTTTTCGTATCAATACCATTCCCACCCCAATTTGACACACTTTCAAAAAAGAAGAAAGGAGGAAAAGCAGCTGGTAGGTGTTTATGTATATTTCTTGTAGTTGACCAGTTGTTAGTACATAATGTTACTTATAATTACGCAGTGTTTTTAATAACCACAAATTTTATTTTAAGGTTTGGCGGATTGTGTTCTGGCACTCGGCTTTGAGAGAATGGCGAAAGGATCCCTTTCTATGGGTGTAAGTGTCTGAAACACTTTATATGTTTCATTATGTTCATTGATGAACTACACTTCCTCATTCTGTGAGGCATATTCTCATAAATACCAATTGTTTTAAGATGTTGCTGTAGATGATTACAAAATAAACCATTACTTTGATCCATGGGAACTTTTAATGAGTTTTATGATTCTGATTGCAGTTATGACATACAAGTATTGTATGGATTGTTTTAGAATTAATTTTATGTAGTATGTCATGCTTTTAGTATTTTGCCAAGAATGCATTAAAGCCAGGGTTAATGGGGAATAATGAAAACACCAGGTAGACTAAGGAAGCATTGGGCAGTTGAAGTGTCTTTCTCAAACTGACACAGCAACTTGAAGAAAGAATCTAGGTCTTCTGGCTTCTGGCTTTTGGCTTGATGCTTACTGTTTTGACTAGTTAACATGCTTTCTCAAAACCCAAGGGTTTTGATGAAGCATTCTTTCTTTTCTCTTCATTGTTTTTACTGGAGAAGTGTGTGGGGTTTTATTTGTATCTTGCCTTATGGCAAGCAGTATTAGAGCCCGTATGTCATTTATCTACAGAACTGCCAAATTTTATTATATATGCAGAGGTTTGGGTGAGAAATGTTAAATTTAACAACTGATTGAAATGAGAAAGGGTTATCTTGAACATGCTTTATGATATTTCATCTAACCTGCATTGAAAATACTAATACAGTATTAACTTTATAACTTGGAACTATATTAACTATAGTATTTTAAGCTGGGGTGAAAAATACCTGAAGTCCTCTGCTGAAAATAGTGACTGTGATAGGACCAGTCCTATGCCATTTCTTGCCTTGAATCAGTGCAGTGATTATAATGTTAAGCATTTTCTGATTATGTACTCTTTCTTATAGTTTGGAAATTATAACTTCTTCAAAATATGTCACTGAAGCACAACGTAGTCCAGTGGAATTGTTAAAATATCAGAAAAACCTCTATTTTGCTTGAAATCCATGGCACTTTTTTTGGGATGTGATAAAGAAAAGAAATTATGACTTGATTTATAACTGTTTATCTTATTTTTAGTTTTCAGACAGAGCTAATCCAGCTGACAAACATGTGGAAATTATGGCAAACAAATATGGCTTAGCAAATGCTCCACTAGCACCTCAGCTGTTTGCAAGTGCTGGCAAAGAACATATGGAGAAGTATGGTATGTTAAAATACATTTTTTTCATTGTTCTCTTTTAATGCAGTGATTTAAAAAATATGTATTAGGATTTCATTTTTAAAAAATGACAGCATTCAGTGTCCTTTCTTTTACTCAAGTGCTACAACTGTAACATCTACAGCTAATGCATATGGGAATACATTTGGATAAGGAGTTATCTACAGAAAAGTTGGTGATGTATAGGGAAACAAAACTGTCAGGAGACAAAATTAAGGCTATGTCTGGTAATCATGCTAGTGGTATGGTCTGTGCCTCTGTAAGGTCTGAGTGATAAGGTTGCACAACTTCCTGCATTTTTTTTCTTGTGTCTTAGGATGGGTAGACAGGCTTGGGACTGAATTGTTTGACAAAAGCTTTCGGGTGTTTGATTCAATATGTACTAGTACTAGGCTGCTGCCACTGCCGGTTCTTAACCCCTCACCAGACAAGGAAATTGGCTCCAAGCTAATAGGCTGGCCTGTTGGGCATCTCTTATTTGCACTTAGTTTTAGACTAGTATATGGAAAAAAATTTTAGACTTAGACTCCTATACTTCACTGCAGCTGTTTTGCACTGATAGGTAAATGAGCGTTCAGGTTTCAGTAATATAATAATACCTCAAATAAAATGCACTTACTTTCTGTATTTTTACGTTCGTGAGTGTGAAATATCCAAGTAGGATGTTCTGTTAGCTAAAACTCAACCACGTTTGCAGTTTTTATCTAATTTTTTGGCCTAAGTTGAATTCTAAGGAAACCCCTGATAACAAGTCTCTTGTAAAGATGCTTGTAAAGGTCAAATTCTTATGACATTTAAAAAGCTGTGTTAGCACTGTTGGGTAAACAGTGTATTTCAACACGGCGTGCTTTCCCCTTCCAGGGACAAATCCAGAATACTTCGCCAAAATTGCATGGAAGAATCATAGCCATTCAACTAACAACCCGTGAGTACTCTACCTCTATATTGAACATACGTTGCTGTTAAAAAATTAATGCAAAACTGAGTATTAAGGTTAGAAATACTTTGCAGTGTATGTTCTTTATTATGGAATGAGATTATTATAATTATATACCCAGCATAAATTCTGTATCCAGTGCCTTATACTTTGTAAAAGCAGCTCTCTAGCTGCCCAATAGTGTGATATTAGTATGCCTGCTGCTAAGGGCTGTGCTAAAACTAAGATGGCATCTGTGTGTTTTTCTTAGGTATTCCCAGTTCCAAAAGGAGTACACATTAGATGAAGTTCTGCATTCTCGCAAAATCTTTGATTTCTTGACTGTCTTACAGTGTTGGTAAGGAGAGGACTTAGCATTGTGAAATAAATACTGATGTTAAGACAGATATAGGACATCTATTTAAATAAATATCTGTTTGCTCGTAAATTAAAATGTACAGATTAAGTAAACCCTCTTATAAATAAAACAAATGTGGAATCTCTGTCCTGATCAAACACTATCTAGGTACTTATTCACAGTATCATACAGTAAGCTGAAATACGTTTCGTACTTTGGGGTTCTCACATTGTTCTGTAGGTTTTACCAATATGCATCCATTGCTGTTATGTTAATTCTTCTCTTTAGCCTTTCCTATACACTCCTGAAAGGCTTGTTGTTAACAATGTTTATAGCCAAGTAGAAGCTTTGGTTTTATTTTATTTTTTTAAATTGAAACACCTTAATGATATATTTCTATTTTGATGTCATGCTTTTCAAATGTTATAAATATTACTGAAAGTGTCCAGCAAACACTGGTGGAATTTAGTTTCAGTGGCATCAGCCAAAGAAAGTGGGGCTTTGTTTGTCCTTTATGTTTTGGGTTTTTTTGAGTTTGTGTTAAAAAATAATTCTATGGAAGACTGACATTACTAATTTAGAATGATGACATTATTACTTTTCTTTCAATCAGTCCAACATCAAATGGTGCTGCAGCTGCAATTTTGGCTAGTGAGGAGTTTGTGAAAAGCCGTAAGTTGCAGCCAAAAGCTGTGGAAGTTCTAGCCCAGGTGATGGCTACTGATTATCCAAGCACATTTGAAGAAAACAGTTGTATGAATGTGGTAGGTTTACAATTCTGTGTTCCCTGATACTCCTCAGGGTTGTTGTTTGTGTGGGTTTTGGGTGTTTTGTTGTGGTTTTTTTTTTTTAATACCTGCAAGTCCTAATGATGCTGTAGAAATTTCATGTAAGTAAGCAAACATTATACTTTCTGGTGAATGTAAAAGTAATTTCATTTGGGAAGGTGGAGTAAGCAAAGAGTATGGTGGTGGAATAACAGTAAGAAGTTTGTAAACAGGGTATCAAAAATCTCGGTTTTAACAAATTATTTAAAGGCTACTCTTTTAAAACTTTTGAACAGCAATAAAAACATTTCTTTAATTTTTCTGTTTATAAGAGTAATGAAACTTAAAACGGTTTTACTTATGTCTGTGTAATACTGAAGCTGAAATAACCTGTTGGATATAGTCATAATTACTTGCTTAAGTAGAATGAAGGGAAGGACCTGAATGGCAAAATTTGGATCCTGCTGCAAAATAAATAATTTGATGTAGGTCAAACCATTAGAATACCCAGTAGTTTTTACTGCAGTCATGTTCTGTTTGGGTTTCAAATAGCATTCTAGTCAGAAGGCTAATAGAAAAAGGTAGCACGACAGTGTGAGGATTTTTTTTCAAGGCTGTTGGTCTGAGTCACACAAAGGAGTAACTTGGTGTGGGAGCAAGGTTGAGAAAATAGAGGATATACCCCAGAAAAGTTTTCACATGCCAACAATGAGACTTAGAATGTTTTATTTCTTTCTATACAATTCATATTGTGTGATTGTTAAACTCTGATATGTGATGCATTAAAATAAATTAGAACAGCACCTCCTACAGGGTACTTTCACTTACAGGATATATAGAAGCATGTTTAAAATTAAGTGTAGAGATGAAATGGCTAGCTGTGTTTCTTTAATGATATTTTAATGCAGTTTCTTCATGTTGCAGGTTGGCTATGATATGACTAAAAGAGCTGCAGAAAAATGTTTTGAAAAAGCAGGCCTAAAACCTACAGATGTTGATGTGATCGAACTTCATGACTGTTTCTCAGCTAATGAGTTAATTACCTACGAAGCTCTGGGACTCTGTCCAGAAGGTAATAGCATCAGTGGAGATCATTGTTTTATTAAAATGGAAAGCATTAAAAATACTTTTTTATCTGTTCGTACAGGTAGAACTTGGAGCTGTCTAATGGACAGATCTTCTATATTTGAAAGTCTTATCAGCTAACCTCATAAGAGGGGAAAGCAAGTTACCACTGTAGTAATGTAAGGAAGACCTGCAAACTCTAGAGTTAGTTTAACAAATGAGCGTGTTACTGTGATTTCTGAAGAAATGTACAAGGCAAATTAAAATCATATGGCTAGTTTGTGCAGGGATGGCTCTTTTAAGCAAGCAGAGCAAGGAAATTAAGAACTCTTGTGATCTTTCTCGGTATTATGCTCCTTTTCCAGGGCTATGTACTTACCTACCCCAAGATTTCCCTGCATATTTTTATTTCCTGTTAAGAAGATAAAAATTGGACAAGAATGGCCTATAGAGGGCCTTACCAAGCTACTTATCTTTGGTATAACTTTTTAAAAACCTTGAAACATCTTTGCCTTTGAAAATACGGAGTTGTTGACAAGTTGTGAACATGCCTCTGAAATCAACTGTGTAACAATGCACGATCTGTCCAGATTAGTTTAATTTCATTGAAGTGAGTGGATTTACCACAAGCTAAATGGCAGTGGAGTTTACTTCTGTGTATGTAAGTCAAAGCATTAAAACTTTCTACTGAAGAGTTTTTTGTTTGATTTCAAATAAATAATGCATTGAACTGCTACTGCAGTATTTGATATATTTAAACTTGCTTTGCCTAATCATCTGATGTAATCTTTCTCTAACTTGTTTTTAACTAATTTTGAGAAAATATCATACTCTATCACTAGATGGTGTATTGTATTAAGTCTAAGCTTTCTCAGTGAAACAGAGAAGTTCGTAGATCTTCAGGAAGACCTTTTAATGTGCTTGTAGGTCTTCAGATATTTGCCTTTGAATGCTTGCTTTTTACTGTCCTCTTTGTGATGTTTTTATGGTATCTGCAGTAAAAATGGTGAATGTTTGACATTATTTAAATAGGTACATTAAGCTTTTTAGCTTCATTCCTTTAATCGAAGATACAGAGTAATCCTGATGGTACTGGTCTATTTGACCAGTAAGTCTTGTGTATGATAATTTAGTAGTGCAATTCTCACCACCTTTCAGTCAGTCTGACCTTAATAGTATGTGAAACTTATCTTGGAACAGTAGACTAGTGAAACATAGAGATTAGTGAAACAGCATAAACCACTTTGTGGATTTAAAAGTGCAAGACTAACCTAGTATTCCCATTTAATGGCAGAAGTAAGTTACAAATACAGGAAACGTGGCAGATCTTTTTTTAGGCTTCAACGTTAATAACGTAGCCTGAAGAAGCTGGTAAGGAACAAGGGTCTGGTTAAAAGGGAGAACTGTCTGCTGAAGGCATGGGAACTAATAGTCTGGAAAGCTAAGCAATTCTATGCATTAGTCTTATGAGTGGTTTTATTTACTATCTTAATGTCTTAATGCAGCCTAGGGTACTGTTAACCACCTCTGTGGCAAGGGCTCATGTTCAGCTTGGTGTTCACCAGGACCTCTGTGTCCCAGGGATCGCAAATTACAGCTAACCCCAATCTTGCAAAAAACATAGTTATCACTGCAGTTTCATTAATCAAATAATGAACAACTTCATTGTATTGATTATATCATAATACTGTATATCAGCAAACCAGCAAATTTAACAAAAGCTTTTGTATCAAGCACTAGCCCTTTTACTTTTCCACGTTACACTTTCTCCAGTGGTATAAGCAAGTCTTGTTGATGTAGTTTAGCTAATTTCAGGCTGCTCTTTGTAAAATCTGTGGTGTAGTATTTCCTAGATTTTGACTGACATGCAACATTTTTGGTGACAGTAGAATTGAAAAATCACTTAAAACCAAAAAATGAACATATTTCTTTTATAAATACTGCTTTATAGGAAAGGCCTGTGACCTGATTGACAGAGGAGACAACACATATGGAGGAAAATGGGTTATTAATCCTAGCGGTGGCTTGATTTCAAAGGGGCATCCACTTGGTGCTACAGGTATGTAAAACCATTTCATTTAGTCATGCCAGTTAGATACAAGATACAGCTCTTGAGCAGGCAGATGCTTCCCACTTGTATGTCTGTATGAAATATAAGGGCTTCGTAAGACTAGAAGGGAGCTGTGGAGCTGATTCTCATCTCCAGCTAATGCAAGCATTAAGGCACGTTGACCATGTAGGATTGCTTAAACCAAAAGCCTTGCAGTGTGCATTTGATTATTAGCACTTACTTAATTTTATGGTGCTTTTTTCCCCCCTGTTGTTATTAAAGCAACCTGCAAAACAGCTTAACTTTTTTTCTAAATAATTGCTCAATAGTACTACTTCCGCTGAATGTAGTTTGAGTAACTATTTTCATATATTGTCATCTTTTAAAATTCAGGTTCTGGAGATGTTTACTGCATCTGAATGGCCCTTGTTAGCTGTAATAAAAGCTATTTCTGTTAAGCCTTGGATGTCAAAATATTTATCTGATGTTTACAACAGAAGCTCAGTTAGTCACCATTTCCCAGCAACATAGGTTTTCCTTTTTTTATTTTGGTGGGTCTTTTTTGTTTTCTTTAAACTGCTATGCTTGCTTCCAAATGAGATGGCTCTTGGATGAGATGTTTGGATTTGTGAAGATAATGCACCTTCCTTGTTTGGAAATGAGTTCTCAAAACTGGAGAAGAGTAAAACAAACCTTAATCTAAATAGCTGTAACAGCTAGATAATCTGCAGTCAGTGTGGGGGAGGAAGTATTAGGAAGCTTCGGAAGAAAAACATTCCAGGTAAATGAGACTCTGGGTATCTGTAACAGGATGAGAGTTATTACATTGCTGGGTTTGTGTTAAACTTTTGTCAGTTACAGTGATAAATGTAGAGGGAATTACTGGTGTTCATGCCTCCATTGCCATGGGAAGTGGGGAGGAGTCATTAAGGACATCTCTACAGACTGTCCGCTTAATTTCACTATGAAACAGTCTTGGGATTAGCTATATGCTAATTGGGGGTCACGTACGTCATCTTAAATTTACAAACCCTTCCAGGGCAGGTTGCATCCCGGTACACATTCTCTCTTTGAGGCTGAGAGAATGTAAATGAAACCTGTTAATTCTCATCTATGACTAGAATTACAAAACTTACTTGTCCTTTTTGTAATGTTTCACTTGGCAACATGTAAGCTTCTGTGCGTAAAACGCAGATTCCTCCTCAGCCTTGCCCAAAGGCCTGCACGGTGTCTAGGGGAAGGGGGAGGAAGGGATGGAGGTCTGCGGATGATGGAGGGAAGAAGAAACGTGCGTGCGGTGGAACTGGATCATAATTGTAGAAATAGCTGGTGGAAGAGTGGGGGGAGACCGGCCGTAAATCAGAAAATCAGGGCTATGGTGAGAAGGGATTCGCCTTCCCTTTGGGCCTCCCGAGAAAATGTATTTCTAGGCTCCTGAGCCGCCTCAGGCCCTGCGGCCTGCATCAGCTCCTAGGGAAGGCGGCGTGCGGAGCGTGCCTGCCCTGCCTGCCTCACCTCGTGTAACCAGCGGCGCTCTGTGCTCGATTTTTCAGGCCTGGCGCAGTGCGCCGAACTCTGCTGGCAGCTGCGCGGCCTGGCCGGGCGGAGGCAGGTCCCCGGGGCAAAGGTCGCGCTGCAGCACAACCTGGGCGTCGGCGGGGCCGTGGTGGTGACCCTCTACGCCATGGGCTTCCCGGGAGCCGGCAGGTGAGGGCCGCGGGCTGCCCGCGGCGCCCCGCC